GAATACTACTCATTAGGAATAGAAAGACATCATGGATTGACAATTACAAACATTTTGTTGAATAATTTTTGTAGACTCTATTCACCTCGTTCACTTAAGGAGCCAAAACAGAAGCTGATAAAACTTAACACAAATTAGATGTTTGCAATGTTTTAAACAAAAACTTGTGTTTTGTAAAATATCTTTATAAACTTGTATTTACTTTTTATTCTACAAAATATTTTTTTTGTATGGATATCTCTTTTATCTCTCAAATTTCTTATATAAAACCAACTAAAAAATTTTGTGGTTAAAGCTGGAAAAAATTTTAGCAAATTATAAACTTTACTTTACTTTCTAAATCGTTGCAACACAATTTAGTTTTAGATATACTTAATAATAAATAAAATTAAAAAAATTATATTAACAAATTATTTCTTTTTAATTTTTATAAGTTACTTTTAATAGGTATAGGGAAGACCGGGGCTAGTTGACTTGGTTTTTACTCTATAAGCTCTGTAGTCCTAACGGAACATTTTTTTGAAAATATAAAAGTGTAGTTTCGAAGGAGTATGAATATGGGTAACTTATAAAAGTTGCATTCATTTTTCAAAAAAAATATTTTGGGGCTTTTCTGGGCCCTAAAAAAAAAAACTTGCGCCAACTTACCCCACCCTGGGGTAAGTTGCTTATACTCAAGGGGTAAGTTGACTCTCAATAATAAAAGCTAAAGTTAAAGGTCCTATTCAAGTATATTCCAATAGTATTTATACCCCCGCCCCGTTTTTTTTTTAAATAGTCATAGCTGAAATATATTTTATCAATATCATCAAACTTTTGGATCAAGTCATTGTAACATTTTAAGCAATAGAAAGTAAATATAATTAAAAAATACAGTGACAAAACAAACCAGTGTTCCCAATTTATGGTTATACAGAATTAAAAATTATACTGTTTTATTACATGAATATTTTTAACTAATGGAGTTTCAAATGGGCTAGCAGCAATATGTGCAAATGAAAAACAAAAATTTTCCGATTATACATGACTCGTGAGCCCAAAGGTGACATTGGGTGCATTGAACCAAGACTTCCTCTGGTTTACTTTTAGAAAACATTCTAACACAAACCAAACAAAAACACTCCTCTTCAACAGAGCTATTTGGACAATTCAAACTTTCCTCCAATAAGTGTAAACTTCCTTTACTATTTGATCTTTTACTCATCTTAATATTATCTTCATTTAACTTTTTTGCTTGTTTTCTCTCTTCAGTTGCTAACTTTTTCTTTTTAACTGAATTTTTCTCTATTTTTAAAACATTCATATTTGGTGAATTAAAATTGATGTGGTTCTATTTCTTTTATTAGCCCTAACTCTTTTTCTTGGTTCAGCTTTTCTTGGTTTTTGAATGGTCTTAAATCTTCAGGCGATAGAACTACAGTTGACTGTAGATGCACTGTGTACATCATTACTGCTTGAATATGAAATATCTTGACGTGGTTCTATATCTTTTGAGCAACCAGCATTTAACATGTCATTCTCAAATATTGTAAAGTCAACATCCGTTACATTACTTATATTTAACGTTGTACTTTACACATCACAGTCTTGTTTCGGCGGTGGACTATCTGTGGTATAGGCTGGCATAAAATCGTGTTCACCAAAAATGTTAACATTTAGTGGGTAAATTCCTGTTTTTGCTAAACCAGCCTTGATATTATTAGGGGTACATGCTAATGGAAATGAGTTACCCACAATACCTGGTATACTGTAAATAGATATTGTGGAACCAGGGTGCATTGTCATCCACGCATCGCAAGCTGTATTTGTGTATTTTTTAAAAGGTTCAAATACACTTCAATCTAGAGGTTGAAGTTATGGCTGCAATGAGGAGGAAATGAACAAACCGATACCCCACTTTCTTTAAAGTAATCTAAAGCCTCTACTGAAAGATGAAAGTCATTATTGTCTAAGAGCAACAAAACAGATCGTTCATTTGTGCTTCTGGCATATTTGACAAAATGATGGGAAAACTACAAAAATTGAACTTCAGTCATCCAACCAGATGGGTTTGCAGCGCCTGCACTTCCATCAGGACCACCATTAAAGAAATAGGTTTTAAATTCATACGAGGAAATATGAAAAATGGAGGAATTGAATTTCCACTGGAAGAAACAGCAACTGCTACAGTTACTAAGTTGCCTCTCTAATATATATATATATATATATATATATATATATATAAATATATATATATATATATATATATATATATATATATATATATATATATATATATATATATATATATATATATATATATATATATATATATATAAATATATATATATATATATATATATATATATATATATATATATATATATATATA